GGTTTCTTTTTATGCTGCCAGATGTTCTTGCCAATTCAGTAATTAAAGAATTATTCACTGAAAGCAACATCTATTATTAAGCCATTTAGATGTTCAAAGACCCAAAAAGACTGGTTATCTTTTGGAGATTGTTTTAAACCTTTACCGAGTGTGGTTACCTTAACCATTATGAACCATTCTTTCAGGAGAATATTTTTTAGGCCAGACACTGATGTTTGAAGAGACAGCTCAAAGTCTTAACTGTAATTGACCCCAAAGATGTTAAGTACAGGTCAAATCTCTGTACAGGTCAGTCAAAATCTTCCACAGCAAACTTGCTTAACCAGTTCAATATAGACCTTCTCTTTCAAGCAGGAGCACCACCGTCATGTTGAAACAGGAAGTGGGGACCCTCAAACAGTTGACACTGATTCTAAGCAAAAAAAAGAGACCTTTATTTTCTTGGCACAAAAACTAATAATTAGCAAAACACTTTGAAAAGTGTAGTTTTATTGGAATTAGGAAATTGACACTTAACCGGACTATTAAACAGTGGATCATGATTGTTTTTGTCTAACTCTAGAGATGCACTGCTAGAGAGCAATGATAGTGTTTTCTATTGCAGGCCTCTGACTTGGACGTAGGTGTTCAGCCATGAGGAAACTTTTTCTTTATTTACTGTTTTTAGACATCATCTAACATCTGAAGTGTGGAGAACTGTACAGTAGCTACTGACTCTGCAGAAAGTGGTGACCAGCATGCATTGTCCGATACTCTGTGATTTTTCCATTAGTTGTAGTTTTTTTATTTGCCCTCCGGTGTTGTGGTAGCTTTACTGTAACAGTTGACTGTGGAGTGTCATAAAATCACTGTGACGTGATTTAATGAAACGACAAGTAGCGTGTTTAAATATATCAGTCCTGCTGAGACAGACCCATTTTTAAACAAAATGTTATAGAAACATTATCAGGGTGCTAGACTTTAAAGACCTTCGGCCAAGCTGTTTAATCAGATTTTAATGATTGGTAATGGTATCCTTATGTTCTGTTGGATGGAGTCTGGTCACTGTCTGGGCCAGATCAACCACTTTTTTTCCCTTAGGTGTTTGTTGGGTTTATCTTCTGATTCTTACCCAAGTTGTGTTTGTATATTTTTGCTTTTGGTCTTCCTCTAAGTAGTCCAATTCATCTTTCATACAAATAACTCAGTCTATATGCTAACCTGACAATTTGGTTTTGTATGTGTAGATATCTTGGGCTGGGGTTTGCATATATCTGATGTGTAGGGAACAGACCCTTTAGAAATACAGAATAGTAAGAAAATTGGATGTTTATGCTTATTTTCTTGCCATTTTTATTTACTTTAATCTGTTATTTTGCAAAATCTGTTGTTCCCATCGTTGTATGCATCAATAGCATTATAAATGCATTTTTCCTGAAACGGATTAAACTACCAAAAGTAAAACATTCCTTTGACAACAAATTTAAAGATCCTGATACACCACCCCAACATTGGAAGAAACAATTAACATGTTAACTGTAAAAATAAATGAGCTGTTGTGCTCTATCAGTACAGATAAAGCCTTGGTAATGTTTAAGATTTAATTCAACTTTGTATTTGTCATAAAATACACCAACAGAAAAATAAATAAAGCCACTGTCAAAGAGATTATACATCTTGAAATGGTGAAATTCCTTTATCCCAGTATTTGTTCTAGTTAGCCTCTAAAAACAGGAGGCTCCAGGAGATAAATTGTCTCACACTACAGTACAGGATTTATAGAGCAGACGTGTCAGAATAATAGTGCAGTAAAGGTCCCAGTGCTTTATCTGGCCAAGCCCCTGTAATGTTTATGTCTGCAATTTTGGTTTTTATGGGATCAAAAAAATTAAATACTCTACTCATGACAAGATTAACAAGATTATACACGAAGAAGAAATATCTCTACAAACTATCTTGGGTTGGACTGCAGATGATAGATAGATAATTACAGTCCTGTGGAGAAATACACCTTTACTCACCAGAAACATAATTGTAAATATTCATGTTTTCTAAGGATTATTTACTATCCCTAGAAAACTTGGGGGTGCAACAATAATAACAGGTTTGTGATAAAAGTTTGAATTTTCTAATCCTCAGGGGATAAATATAAGACATGCTGATATAAATATATAGCAAAAATGTTTTTTTGTAGCTGTTTTTATAAAGGTATTTAAAATCTGATAGAAAAGGAAATGCAATCCAGATTTTTAAAAAGAGGCTATACATTTATTTTTTTTGTTTCTCAAGTGAATCTGATATCATAGCTCATCTGAGAGGTTTGTGCTGACAGGTATGCTGAAATCAATCATGAAGAGAAAGGATGGGACTAACTCGAGCGAGAGTCGTAAGAAGAGTCTGCAGTTTGTTGGCATTCTGAATGGAGGGTACGTGATTACAACATACTGTTACTTATTTTTAACATTGCAAAATAAAATGAGGCTGACCCACTGTCTAAAGGTTTGAACGTTAATTCCAGCTCACAGCCAGCTGGTTAAAGCTACTTGTTGTGTTTGCTGTTAATGGGTAGGCTTCTTTCTTTCAGGTATGAATCCACCTCTAGTGAAGAAGACGAAGAGGAAGAAGAGGAGGAAGAGGAAGTCGGGAGTTCCTCTGGAGAAAGTGGAGAAGGCGAGTGTCTGGATAGCACAGAGGAAGATGAGGCAGCATTGGAGGAAGAAACTTCAGAAGAGGAGAGAAATGTCAACCTGGATGAGAGCGACACGGATGAGGAAACGCTGAGAGCCACAAACTATTCATCAGATGCTGTGAAAGAAAAGTGGGTTTGAAAAGTTGACTGGGAAAACAGATACTTGAGGGTTTCAGTTTAGTGCTCTATCTGTGTTTAATTTTCATGTCAATGAGAGCATGTTCTGCTTGTTTGCTACAGGTTTGAGTTCAGCTCAAAAATGCGAGAAGCCTGTCTAATTCTGAAGAACCACCTGAACGATGATGTGAAAACACTGAAGAGTAAAGAAGTGGTGCGTGCCTGCAGGTTTTTCTTGTTTCTTAGCACAGTTTATAGATCAGAAACATGCAAAATAAAGCAAAGCAAATTCCTGATGCTTCCATACAGCTGCCTCCACAGGGCCTTCTGACCAACAACAGCAGGCAGGGTCTGTTAGTTATATTAGCCAGGGACACATTGGCTGAGACAGACAGAGTAGGGGCTGACACTGCCAACCCAGTGGATACAGAATGAACCCCTAACTCCTGAGACACCGTGGCCCCAACTAATTTGCAGAGGCTGCTTTTAATAGATTTTTAATAGTGTTCAACCTAGGGCCATACAGTGGCTCAATGTGAGCTTCTTTTATCCACACAAAGATCAAACCTTTCTGGAAAACTCAAAATAAAAAGGAACTGTTAAGAATGTCATACTGTAGAAGACAGGGACCACTAAGGATCAAAACTATTATCAACTGAAGAATCACTGTCCGTCATAAACCCAGTTAAACAGAACCAGAGATTAGAATTTAAGTTAAAGGGAAACACAGTTTTTTTTTTCCATTGGGCCCTTGATTTTACGTTATTACATCATGTTCTACTCACCCATATGAGTTTTGTGTCATTTTGGAGCCGTTCTGTTTATAATTGATCATTTATGGTACACCAGCATTCATAACATGTAGGTGAATCACTGTCCCCTAGTAATCCCCTTTAACATCACAATACATTTAAGATCAAGTCAAAAAAAGTAAAAAACTTTGGAGTAGTCAGAGTAAGTCTTCAAAACATAAGCTTACCCTTCTATTCAACTTGCAGAGAAACCATCACATATTTTTGAGAGGCATATTTGAGTCTGTATGTAGCTTTGACTCTACTTTGATCAGAGAACAGCCTAAATTTGTTCACATAAATGTTCCTGGATCCCAGTGGCAACTTATGACTGAACTGCAGGACTTCTCGGTAAATTAGCTCTTTTATCTCATATTTTTCCTGCTTTTTTCTTACGTTCTTCAGCTATCCAGCACCCACACTGTGCAGCTTGAGTGGTTCCGGGTCTCCAGTGCAAAGATGGCTCAGCCATCACGGGTTTCTGACTACCTCATGGCCTTCTCTGAGGTGTCATCAGCGCTGCTGGAGCATGTGGTCAACATGACTGATGGCAACGGCAACACAGCTCTTCACTACAGTGTCTCCCACTCCAACTTTGGGGTAGTCAGACTGCTGTTGGATACTGGTGAGTGAAATGGTGACAACAAACATGGACTTCCACAGCTGTTATGATTCCACCCATGTCTTGTGTCTACGTGTCTTTTAGCATCCGCTCCCTAGATTTTGCCTTCTGATTTCTCTAGCAAATCTAATTTGACCTTTAAACAGTGCAAATCGTTCTTTGTCCTTTGTTAGTTCTAATGGGAAATACACACATTCATTTAGAATTACAATGTGCTTTATTAAAACAAATGTCAAGTTAACTTGTCCAGCGAAACATATTAACACTGTAGACCAGATATTTATATGCACTGAAGAAAAATGTGGTATTTCCGGATCATTTGCTATGTGTCAAAAATGAAAAGAAATAGTTTTATATGTATTTCGTTATTACTTTCTTCAGACACAGAAGTTCTCACAGCCTTAAATAACAAAACTTCTTAATATTTGCAAAAGCCCAGATGATTGAACATCGATTGGATCCATTTTTCAAGACAGTATTTTGCTTAAAACATGGGAATAAATTCTTCTAGGGACAAATTAAAAATCTTTATTTCTCTAATGAAATATAAATAAAATGACCTAAAGGTAAATCAGCATTTTGCTGTAGAAAACCCTTCATAAATCATAACATTTGATATTTTTTCCCTACAAAATGACCATTTCTTCCTTTGGTTCCTAACTGATCTAATGCTTAGAGCAAATGCTAGTATATAGATACATTGGAAACAAACCTCAGATTTATTGCCATGCTGAAATAACACATCTGCAGGAGCTCTGCCATTTTCTTTCGGCTCTCAGAATTATGCATGGTTCCTCCAGGTGTGTGCTGTGTGGATAAGCAGAACAAGGCGGGCTACACAGCCATCATGTTGGCAGCTCTCTCTACTGTAAAAGAAGAGGAAGACATGGCTGTGGTGAAGAAGCTCTTCAGCCAGGGGAATGTCAACGCTAAGGCCAGCCAGGTGAGACACACTTCAAGACAGCCATTTTATAACTACGGTAGCTTTATTTATCCACTGGCATTTCCTTAGGATCAGCAACCTTTAAAACCCAAAGAAATGCTTCTTCTATTGGGCAAGCATATAAAGTCTAGAAAACAAATACATTTTTCTAAATTACTATTAATAACTTAATAACTGAATTATAAAATAATCAGACAAAAGTGTTTTGCTTCCTTTTTGATGCGTTATTTTACTGCATGTTTGTCACACTTGCAAGTTTCAAAGACAACCCTAGGAAGCAGCAGAAGTATATTTTAAATGCATTTTATTTTTTTTATCCAAACCTACATATGCCTGTGTGAAAAAGTGATTGCCCCCCAGGTAAAAAATAACAGTGTTTTATCTGAACTGAGTTTACTATCTGTAGCGACAGCAAGGTCTAATTACTGCTATACCTGTTCTCAGTCAGGAAACCATGAATAGGACCTGCCTGACTAATTGAGTTGCAACAAACAGTACTGAAAAGCTTCACAGTTATCAAATTGGGCCTGATCATTTGCAATACGTTGTGGGAAAGACTTGTCTTCATTATTTTACCAACTCTGATGGAAGGTGCTAGCTAGTTGGCTTAGCCTCATTACTTCCTTGTTTACCCATTGTGCACATGCGCAGTGTTTTACCTCCAATCATACTGTGTTTTTATAAGTACACGTCCAAGGGCTTCATTTGCTTCAGTGTAAACAAATCACAAAACACAAAAATAACAAATAAAATGCTTCCAGGATGCTGTAATCGCTCAGAAAGTCTTTTATGCAACCAGAACGAGCTATTGGCTAAAAAATATGAAGTTTAAAATTTGTGTTACTGTAATTCCTCCCCCATAAGATTGATAATGGGTAAAAATGCCTCCATGGCAGAATTCTAAAAAAAACACAACAGTTGTTTAAGTAAAACCTTTATTTCAGAAAAAAAAAAGAACATTACACCGGTAGAGTAAGGTGTTGGCAGTGTAATAGTCTGGTATAATAGTCTTGTTTGCTGCTTTAGGACCTGAAAGACTTGCATTGCCTGTCCTGGAGGAAAATGTCCAGCAATATTTTGGTAAAATGAGGTTCTATAGCAGGACGATGAAAAAAAGCATACCAGCAAGGCCACATCTGAATATAAACAAAATAGATATCTTGGATTGACCTTAAAAAGGCTGTTCGTGCTTGAAAACCAGTTTAATAGGGCTAAAATACAACAATTCTGCAAAGATCGGAGCGACAAAATCCCTCCACAGGGTTTAAAAAGACCAGCGGTGGATAGAGTAGCAAAAAAAAATTGTAATTAAGTGAAAGTACCACTACTTTATCATATTTTTACTCAGGTAAAAGTAAAAAGTATTTTTAAAGAAAACAATCAGGTCAGAGTAAAAAAATATTCGGTAAAAATGCTACTCAAGTACTGAATAACTGATCTACAGACTGCCCATTATCATACTGTACCTTGTGATTTAATACTTCTGAGCTATAAAGCTTACAAAATCAATCGTAACAGAATTTAGAATTGGTTAAATTAGGAGTAGGATGGAGATGGAGTAGACAGAAATTTTACTCTAGAGAAAGTAGTGATACTAATATTTTACTCATGTAAAAGTAAAAAGTGCAATGGTGTAAAACTTCTCATAAGTTTTTTTTCAAAAAGTTACTGAAGTAAATATAACTGAGTAAATGTAACTAGTTACTACCCTCCTCTGTAAAAGACTCATTGCAAATTATTACAAATGCTTGGTTGCAGTTGTTGCCCAACCAGATATAAGATTTAAGGGCATCACTTTTTGTGTTCACTTGTTTTGTCTTTGACAGATATTTGCCTTTGTTTGATGTTCTGAAATACTTTAGCATTTAAAAAATTAGGATTTTTTAAAAATCACTTCACATTTGTTTATCAAACATTGATAGTTGAAGGAAATTATGGCAAAAAAAAAAAAAAAATGACTTGACAAAGAACCAGAGCAATAAGTGCATTTGTGTCACTCTGTTTTAGAATTATTTAAGCAAAAACAGAAAAATGTTATAAATCAACATTAATTCCTCTTTTTATTTGGAAAAAGCCAAAAAGTCGAAATGAACCAAGCAAAGGCACTTTAGTGTACTTTTGGAGGTCCCAAAGATTTCCCCACAGAGCCCCGGCTTTAGGATGAAAAATATTAGCCTGATATTAAATAAATAGTTGTACCACATTTAGCATCTAAACTAACGTCTTTCCTGACATTAGAGCTGCTCCAAAATGTACAATCCCTGTTCTAGCGTTCCGTCATCTGTTTTACAGATCATATCTGACATTAAACCACTTTAGCAGCTCAGCATTCTTGCTTTGCTGAAACAGACCTTAACAAAATACAGACAACACTGACATTAATGAAAGACTTTACTTTGGATTACACTGAGAGTAATAAACATGGACTCACCCTGTGATTTTTATTTCTGAAACAAATCCCAGAGTTGGTTTATTTTAGCAGTTTACATGTGAGGCTTGCAGATGGCTGATTAACAGGAAACCTGGTCGTAAACAAAGAGCTGATCATTAAACCTTTGCTAGGATTATACCATCCATTAATAGAGATTAAAAAAAAACAAAGATGGTGTCTGACATGCAGAGCAACTCCACACTGGAGACATCTAGACAAATTTATGAAGCTTCAGTACAGAAACATCAAATCAGTTTGATTTGGAGAAAAAATAACAGAACTGGAGTTGGTTCCATCTTTCCAAGGCAGTAGGTGTCCTCAGGGCCCAATTCTTTAACGGACAACTTGAAAATAAATGTTTCTAAGAACAAATAAAAATATTTGGACAAAAAAATTAGTTGGGTATGACTGAAGTTTAAGCTACTGACCTAATGCACCAAAAAGCTAAGCTATTGAGACCTAAGGAGGAAATCTACAGCTGCACACAGTGGACTTAAAAGGATTTTACTGAGGAAAATGATGAGGAAGAAATGATCATCACATCAATTATGTATGCAAAGAAACAATGAGATTAAACAAGGGCTAAATATCAATAAAAAATAATGTCATTTAGATACAGATAAAAATCACTAAGCTTCATTAAAAGTTAAATAAGTAATAAGTAATTCACTCAGGGTTCCGGCTCACGCGGATAGCTGATGGTTCTGGAAGGTTCTATTGAATAAGATCGACTGCATAAGAAAAACATCATTTGTTTCTTGCAGCCATGGTTTATGAATCCTCTACACAAGGTGTGTGTAACCTGCACATCCGATTGAGCAGTAATAGTATATAACCAATAAAATAAATGTGAACGTTCATGTTTTTTCCTTGGCATTTAAATGCAATATATGTAAAACACTTCCACATAAATACTAATATTTTGAGGAATATTCTTCTAATAAAATATTTGTCGTGGTCTTTTTGGATGCAAACTGCTGTTTCAACATCTTTTTTTGTGGGATTTTTTTTTTTTTTTAATCAAGGTTAATACTCATTCCCTTTTTGTAAAACATGAAAATATGGATTTCCTATTGAAGATATTGTGGAAAATTCCACAATAGCTAATTTCCTTCCTAAACTCTTGTGGCTCTAAAAAAATATAGTTTATCTGGACAAAGGTGGATGATTGACTGAAGGCTGTAAAGAAACAAGTGTCTCGAGGTTTACTCAATTGATTGACTTTATTGATCTCACAGTAGACAAATTCACTATTACTATTCAGCTTTAGACCATTTAGTGGGTGGTTTAGCTTCACAGATTTGATCAATTGTCCAACTGTTACATTTAGATTTAGGACAAAATATATACAAATTGGGGACATTTTATTTAAAGTCAGATTTCTTCCAGTGGTCCTTCAAATATAACTGAAATATAGGGTGAAGTTTTCTTTAAAAAGATTCTGGCCCTGCTCCTCCTTCCTCCATTGTCAGCTGTTTTAATGTCCTAAAGACTTTGTCCCCTTCAGCTGCCCTTTCATGCTCTGAAAACAGAACAATTTTCTCTTTAGCATTTAAGGATTCCTGAATCACTGATCTGCATCACTGACGTCACTGCTGATATTTCCACTGTGCTGGTTAGAGTTGTTGTTGACATGATCAGATGAGTTTTTATCTCCTTTATTCAAGCATGCTCGTCACAAATTAGTCGTCTGTTTTGCAAATTAAAAAATAAACTTTAGGAATGAGTCCTCTCCTTAAATTCTAGTGAACAGCTTTAAACTAAGGGAATAATTGGTTTCAGGCTAGAATGTATGCACCAAAATGTGCGGCCATTGTGAGAAACTGAGTTTTTTGTAAGTGGTTTTATCTCTGCAGCTGATTTAATCAGGTTGTGTAGGGTTTGTGGCGCCTGACTGCCCAGTCATGGGACTGAATTTATGGCATCATTCTCTATAAATCCAATTACTGGAGCTTGTTATTGTTGCTGCAGGGAACAAAACATGTGGCAGGCAACACATTTAAAGAAGGGAATTAAGAATGTACCAGTTTCTGCTGCTTATTAACTTTGAAACAGGTAAAACAGCAGCAATCAAAAATAGAACAAAGTCGGGAACCTAATGCATGTCTGTCATTTAAAAGCTGCCGTGATTAATTCCACAATCCGATAATGGGATGACCATTTTACTGTACATCCACAGCAGGCTTTGCATATTTAGTTTTATTCTTTTCCACCACCTCTGTCCAAACAACAAATAAAACTTTGTGTATTTTTCCTGTAACAGGCAGGCCAGACAGCCCTGATGTTAGCAGTGAGCCACGGACGGCAGGAGATGGTGCAGGCCCTGCTGGAGTGTGGAGCTGATGTAAATGTCCAAGACGACGAGGGATCCACAGCTCTGATGTGTGCCAGTGAGCACGGCCGGGCAGAGATAGTCAAACTGCTCCTGGAACAGCCTGGCTGTGACATATCCATCATGGACAACGTAAGGTTTTCAAGCAGGCTCTGCAAACGAGCACAAAAGTTTGTTTTTTTTGTTTGACCATCTAAATGCGTTCAGGAAATAATTTTCTGCTCATTACTCTCCTCTCACACTGCTGGAAACTTTCTCACTTAGGAAGCGATGATAAAAAAGCACAATCAGATTAGTGTCATCTGCCTGTGAGTCAGCAGGAAACAAAGTTGCTATGCTGCTCAAATGTCCCAGAGGGAGAATTAACCCCCCCATCTGTTGATCATTTCAGACACTAGGGCCTGCAGACTCATTTTGATTCTCTGTATACTTCTTCAAATGACCCATAAACAACCTAACAGCAACTTCTTATCCGTTTAGAAACATATTGAAAATGAGTTGAATGTAAAAAGGTACCAGTAGCCAAAAACAGAAAACTTCCCGGGTGAAAATCTAGTTAGAGACCAAACCTTCCTTATTACTTCCTCTAAAGCTCCCCCAGCAGCCTTGTGATTCCTAAAGTGATTTACAGTGAATTGTTCGGTCTGGGTGCTTGGGGAGAAACCAGGCAGACAGATATTTGAGTGCTCACATCTGTGCCAGAATAAGTTGGCCATTTGGAAGAGGCTGCGTCTGGATAGAGTTTCAGTACAGCACAGCTGGACATTTGGGAAGGCCCCATCCTCTCCCCCAACTGCACTAAAAAGACAAAACACTGTAATGAACTGCAAGGCTGACATACTGTGTTTAAAGTTAGGCTGAGCTTACTTCTTTTCATGATTCATCAGATTCTCTCTTTGTTTGGTTTGTTTTCTCTACATTCAAAATATGCAAAGCTTTTACTTCCAACATGACGTGAAACCTTGCATTTATTCCTGTTGCTGCAAGACTACACACAAGCTCACTCACATTTGGAATACTTTTTTACTTTACTAAATCAATCTAAAATTTTATTAAGATCTTATATGATAAAACTACATAAAATACATGATAGAAATGAAAGTATTACTGTGGCATTTATATCCATGTACCTATACATTCTGCACAGTTTTATACCCTTACATTAAGTTACGTGCAACCAAGCACCTAAGAAGTAAATAGCCAATTGGAAAATGAATATTGAGGACATTGAGAAGTATTTCTAAGGAATCCCTGTTTTGTTTAACTGGTTAATCACAGATGCATGACACTAATTTACCTGGCCATAATTATCAAATTGCCTAACAGTTGGAACCACTGGAAAAAAGAAACAGCCATGCACAATGTGAATCACGAGGCCATTTAAAAGGGCAAAACTATGGGTTCAGATTCTTTCTTAGACAATGATCTGACGCTTGCTAATTCTGCTCTGCTTCCCTCTGTCTGTAGGATGGCAGTAATGCACTGTCCATTGCATTGGAGGCGGCCCACAATGACACAGCTGTGCTTCTCTATGCCCATATGAACTATGCAAAGAGCCAGACTGCTCTGGTAAGTCCATTCCTCCTGCTTTGGTTAACTGTGGACGGTCACACACAATATGCTGATGTAGCCAACATGTCATGGGTATTTAACATTAAAATTAACATATAAGGCACGTTTAAAGCCTAGTTCCATTGATAAAGTGGAAAAACATGACAATGCTGACAGAGCAGTGTGGATTTAAATATTGTAAATAAAAAATGAGACACCCTTCTGTTTATATTTAAGACATCATGCAGCAAAATAAAGTTTTAGCCAGTTAATGTAGTAGATCAAGCACATTTATTGGCTGTGCAACAAGAAACTCTTGTATCTAAAGAAGAGAAAGAGCACCTTTATTGTGTTAAGGGTGTGGGCAGCTTGGATTTATAGCTCTCTGCTGCCCCCTTTAGGTTTTATCCTGCTTCTGCAGACAGTGTTCTGAGTTCAGAATAAATCAACAGTAAGTACACAAGCATGTCACTTTAAAAACCTTATAATTAATCATTTTAATTTTTGTAAATCGAGATATTTAAAATCCACCAGGCAATTATAAATGGTATAAAATTGTCTCTTATTTCACATTAATCATTGCATAGCAAACATGCCGAGGTATAGATTCCTGCTCATTAACATTTAGTGCAAACGATATTCTTATTTCATGCTAAACATAGTTTGTTCACGAAAACAGAGCGCCCCTTTGTTTAATGTTTTTATTATTTTGCACCCTTGTTTCCGTAGGAAAAATGTATATTACAGTATAACTTACAAATATAAACCAACAAATGCCTCAAGGCACTGTTTGTATTTTCTGGGATTATTTTAAAGTAATGAATCATTCCAAACTCTTAATTCTAAACAAAGTGGTAATGCTAAGCCAAGCAGCCTTATAATGTGGGAGCAGACTAAATTGTAAAAAAAGAATTAAAAACATTACAACTAAAAAAGCAATTCTGCAGACTGTACTTGCTGCAGCAATTTAGGAAGTACAATCTTCCACAGGCAGGCTGCAGGTTATCGTCTACCCTGCCATGTTCAGTCTGTCATTGTACGTCCTTCATTCTGTAGTTCGGCTGGATAGGTCCAACCTGCAGAGGATAATTAACTCTACAGAGATTATGGGGCTGAACTCCATCCAGGGCAGCTTACATCCCTGCAGACCCCAAACGTTTTGCAAACAAACTGTTTAAATGTTTGCAATCATGTTGGCATTCTGGAGAAATATGTTCAGACTTTTTCACCACAAAGGACCCCCCCCAGTTTGTTTGAGGAGTGGTAAACTATTTTGTGAAGCCTCCTTTGCAGAACAGCAAGAAGTAAGTGCAGGTGCATCTATACACAGAGAGAGGTAAAGACTAAAGCTAAGAAACTGGCTTCAGACAAAAGAGGCAGGAAAGGAGACACTTCTGCAAAGGAGACTTCAGAAAACTTCAGAAAACTTCAGAAAACAGGACGGAAAGAAAAAGACTGGAGCAGGGCTTTTTCTCCGAATTCAGTTAAATTGTTTGGGATTGTTTTTGCTGGAAAAGAAAAAAAAATGCCATTATAATCCATGGATAGGTCCATCCTTCCTTCCTTCCTAAGAAAATTACTTTTCTTAAAAAATCAAATACACCTAGAAAGTAAAACAGTTAGCCCCCACAATCACTCAATCCTCAGAGGTTTTTGTTTCAAGTAACTTTTTGCCAGCAACAAAAAGTTTTTTTTCTGACAGCTTAAATCTGGTGGACAATGAATAAAGTAAACTGATGATTTTGGTTATGCAAAAAGGCCCTTGAATGGGCCACCATCTGAATCCTTATTTGCAGAAAAGCTATAGGAATTTAAGCACTTTGTCCATCTACCTGCAGAAATAAAATATTTATTTACTTCTAAAACCCTTCATTATTTTTTTGATGGTTCAGGGGAGTCCAAAGGCCCAACCAAGGAGCAGCACAAACCCACACAAGTCCTGGCCCGCAGATTGACACCACCCCAGCTCTTCGTCTAAGCAGATGGACCTGCAAATACAACTGGATTGGAGCTGTGGAACGCTCAACTGGAATTTATTCAAATACATTATTTTAAATTAAAATGTACTGCTATATGTTCTACCTTTATAAGTATTGTTGATATGAGAATACTATTTTTCCAAAAATAATGGTTGTATTTTGTTATTACCCGTTGAACTAAAAACAGTATTTTTTTGTGTAATGGGAAATGAAACATGACATTATTTGCACATAACTAACATTTTACTGTCAACTGCAGCACACTCATACATGCTTAATTAGATACACATGTAGAAGTCTTCAGCTGTTGTTTTACCTGAAATCTATCACTCAGATGACATTTAAAACCTGCTCTACTCTTGCTATCCTATCCATTTTCATTTACCAGATGTGCTAAGCACCTCAATCCTGTTACTTTGCTTCTTCTGTAAAGTGTTGGTCAGAATAAAAAAAAATACACCTACATTTAAAGCTCGGAATTTACAATATTTTAAGATATTTTTTTGTTAAACAGAATGTAATGCTTAAAAATTGTAATCAGCAATGTATGTTAAATATATTTATATAAATGATATATCAAATAAATATATTTGCATAAATCTGTGTCATCTAAAAACAAACAGAACTGATGCTTTTTTTTATTATTTACTAGCAAAGTGTTCCTTTATTCACTAACCAAATCATTGTAAATACATTAAGTTTTGACAGAAAACCAACATCTAAAGCATTTTCTTGCAGCTTTCAGCACATAAGCTGCAGCCTTTCAAATAAAAAAACTTTTAATTGCATGCAAAACAAAAAGTAAAACAAGTAACTGTATAACAGCAATAGTAATCACAACAACACAGTAATCAACACAAAAGAAAACTTGACAAAGTGAGGCATTTAGATAGTTTTATCTGCATTTTTTTTTTTAATCAGGTGAAGGGTTATTTAACATGATATATTCTTTCATAATTCCTTCCACCAACATGCAGCAAGTTTCTGGCCCAATGCATCCAAATCAACACACAAAAAAAATCTAAGGAAGGTCAGTCAGGAGTCTAATTTTGACCTGTTTAAGGACATTACATCAAAGATGAATCAGCCTGTAGAGTTTTTCACTCTAATTTTGTGTGTGACTCCAAATATAGACCTCCATTGGTTAATAAATTGATTTCCATCCCCCAAAACATCGGACCTCATTCAGAAGTTGGTTTTTAGGCTAAATCTGGTTGGTCAGTCATAGTCTTGATTTAGTCCAGAAATAGTTGTTGAAAATTGGGCTGTGTTTGGTCGGTCTGATTTTATCCCACTTTAATTCAATTATAGACGTAATTACGATGTAATGTAGAAATTGTTTGGATGTAAATCATGTTGACTTTTTAATGTCTTCAAGAAATGATTGTTTGGTGGAACTGATGATGTTAGTGTGCTTTTATTGTCAGCACATTCAACTTTGTGCAAAACAAAGTATTTAATGAGAATATTTCTTTCTTTAAAGCCTTTTTTGAGGGTTCCATTTATTTTTTTGAGCAGTCTATTTACCAAGGGTCCGTTTTACAATGCAGATTTACTGAAAAAAAAAAAAAAAAAAATTGCACCTGAAATCAAGGAAACTCTTGAGTTTTACTCACCCTCTGTATCTGTCGCCGTAGTAACATTTTCCACCGAGCTAACCCAGTGGGGAGCAGGCTCACAATTTGAGTCTGAGTTTTTTAAACCTGCTTTGTGAAACGGACCCCTGCTAATGGAGGACCTCAAGTAGGCAAAATGAAAACATGTCATTTAGCACAGGCAGGTTTTGTGCAACCCTGTACCTCTATAGTATTACCCCAATGAAAAAATCTAGATGATAACCTTACAAATGTAAGACTTTCTTGCTTTTCACGTGTCATAACGAATATTACTTTTACAAATTACAAATTAGAAAGGAAAGATTAAAGATTTTTAAAGTAAGAGCAAATTTATGACTAAGATCATGAAAGAATTGTAATATATTCTAAGTGATCGCTCTTTACATGTTTTTAACTTTACTTGCAAAGTTTTGTTTTGATTGAAGATAACTTTCTAAAAATCATTAGAACATTTTTTAAGAAGATGTGACGACTTTTCAAAATTTGAAATGCTATCAATCTCGATCACCAATTGTAAAGTAAGACCAGAATACTTTAGAAGATAGAAAGGAAATACAAGCAATTCTTTCCTCTTGAATTAAAAAAAATTACATCTACATCAAATTTTAATGTCTTCTTTAACATTTACTATCAACATGTATTAGGTTGGTTTGGTATTTTAAATTGGTTTGTTTAGCTGTTGGAGAAAGGAGCCATTTAATAAATTTAGGTTGAGTGTTATTGAGGGTCACTGTACAAGGTCCATATTTATAATAACTGAAAATAATAGGTTTTTCTGACAAATTAAATATCAAAACAAAAATTTATCATCAAGTATATGTCATAAACATGTTTCTTTTGGCAGGTTATCCCCCACATGTTCCAAAGAAGAAGAAGCTTGTGGAGAATAATTGTTAGTTGAATATCAGTTTAGGGGGGGAAAAAAGGCATGTTTGTGATTTGTGAAAGAATTACAAGGGCAATAAATATCCAACAACAAGGCACAGGACATGGCCATATATCCGCTTTTTGCTTAAAAAACCCCATTTAGCTATGAATTGTGGGCAACTGATGCACATTTAGCTCGAGTGTGGACCATGGGACGAGAAAGGCTGCTCTGCAGAATTGGAACACACTACACACTCAAACGCTCAGTCAATACACGCAAATTAAGTACGCAAGGGGAGAATTGCGGGTATTGGGAAAGGGCTCATGGCGGAAACCCCAGTAAGGATAGCACAGCTAACCCAGTAGTGCTTGCTGAAGTCAATGGCTAAATGATGTAATTTGTTTATAATGAGCCTCATGCAACAACATTTTCGTATTGATGTCCTAACTTTCTCTTATTTTTTCTCCTACTGTGGTTTCCTACGAGTCCGCCACATCAGATTCGACAAACATTCTTAACTTCAGTAAATTATCATAAAGATCCTTGTAAACAAGATGCATACCACCTGTGCATAAGTGAGCGTGTTGCAATTATAAATCTGCATAATTAAAGCACAAAGGGTGGTATTTACAGGGTGTCAACTTTCACCTACTGGATGTGAGACTTCACATCCCCATTTTCTCAAGCTGAAAAATAAGGGACATTAAACTCCACTCCATTCCATTTATTTGTATATAAACATCCAGTCCCTGTTTTCAACACAACCTTACTGCTAACACACAAGGACATGCCAGGTTTATATCCAGTCCATATTTTCGTTCCAGCTCACCTTTTCACTCTGCTGAGAGCAGGAGCTGAAAGACCTGTGCCAGATTGATAAAATGAGTGGGACGTTTGAGAAGTTATGAGGTCTGTTATTTGAATTTTTATCTTATCCTTATCTGCAGTATGATAATTCACTTTTTAAATAAATGAAGATTTTAAGCAATCTAGCACTTGAGTAAATATGATTATATCCAACAGCATTGCTGCAAACTTTTCACCAAACCTTGGAGTGAGATATTAAAATAGTTTGGACAGGCAAACCTTGTCAGGGTTAGATTGAAAAGCAATCAGGATACGTGCAGCTATAGGTTGTAGCTTTTCAGAGGATTTAACTGTAACTAACCCTTAGCAAAAAGTAGCTTATTCAAGTACACTAAAAGTGCACAAATTTCATACTTAAAATCAGGCCGTGCACTTAGAGTTTACTTATTCTAAACTATATTTCATATACTTAACAATAGTATAGTCAAGTGTACTTGAGTACTTTCAAGTACACTAAAAGTACATTGTACATTTTTCGGTATACTTTCTAAACTTATACTTAAGTATTCTTAATAGAATTTACTTCAAGTATGCTTCTTTTTGCTAAGGGAATGTGGATAAATATGGAATTTCTATAGAGCAGTAAATGTCACTATAACTCTTTAAGTGATCTGTAGTCATGTGGAAAATGTTTCACACAATATACATTATTTTCTATATTATATTCTGGTGATTTTCAGAGAATTGAGGTAAAGAAAAATGGGCCCTGCTAAAATACTTGCATCTTAAATATACTGTAAACAAGAGTTTTGCAACTGTGTTTATTAATTATTCTATGCAGTTCAAGTAAAATAAACAGTGGGGAACTAATACTAATACCGTAACCTAATACCTGTATTACTGGCACTAATACAGGAACCAGTGCAATCAAATCCTGTCTTTGAATATTTGGTAATAGACTAAGGACTAAACTCATTATCTCATTAGTTTTTTTTTTTTTTTTTTACAAACGACAAAAGAGCTAAACAAGGCAGATTCTATAAAACCTTACCATGAAAGAAGACAGAATTTCTGTGGAAGTTTAATTTCTTAAAAATGTAATGGAAAGTTTTTAAACATATACAATAGACCAAAATAAGGATATATTAATATGATAATTAATAATAAAATGAGAACATGCCTGTGGTCCCTCCTCTATCAGTGCTGAATAACTGAGTTGTTCTGCACATCCTCTCTGTATGTGGAAGGTCTTTTCTTGGGTGGCTGATCTTTTGAAAAATAAAATGCAATGGTTCTTTTTCTTTTTTATGGACCCCCTATGGGTTTGTGAGACATACGGAAAGCTTTGAGAATTTAGATATTTACTTCAGTTCCTGCCTTTATGTTTGAGTTAAAGTATGGTGGGATCCAGTTCATGAGTGATTGGAGGATGGAGCAGGAGATCAACAGACGATATGGCCACTGCTGCTGCAGTGCAGATGCTGAGCTGGTCTTTTATGGTGAGGAGAAAGCTGAGCCCAAAGGCAAAGGATGGTCGGTCACAATCTGGGTTATGACCAAAACGAGGTCCTGGATACAAAGGACTGGAATTAGCTCCCCCTGCAGGGTGGCTGGGCACGCCCTTAAAGAGTAGATGAGGAGCTCAGCCATTTGGGAGAGGCTCGGAGTAAAGACGCTAGGTATGTCCAGCTGCCAAATAGAACAGCCTTATAGAGCACCTGAAGGCTAAGGATGAGGTCAGGATTCTATTCAGGACAGTCAATTTTCCATCAAAATGTATCCCCCTGAAAACATTGAAATGAATGGCTCTGTTAATATAGGGGGGTGAACCAAACCTCTTGGTAATGTAGGGCAAGCTTGAAGAGTGCATCCGATGAGAAGATCAACTGTTTAGTACATCAACTCTTTACTGTATGGTCACTGGACCTGGATGTCAGCTCGGCAGATCGGAAAAAAAAAAACACCAAAGAAAAAAACATCTTTGAAAAAACTGCTTAAAAAAACAGCTTTAAAACAATAAAGCTTGCACCCTAACAGTTTAACATACTTAATGTTCGTATCTCTCTGGTGCATTTTTGGCCAAAAAAAAAAAGGTTTTGTCAATGAAGGTAATCACACATAGCCAGAAATTTGACTGGAGTAAGACTATCATTACTATTGGGAACGGAATTTCCCTTTGGGATTAATAAATTATTATTGAATGGAATTTAATAAACTACTACTTCCTTATCATTACTCTAGTAAAAGTAAAGTTCATTGCAGTGAAAC